GTCTTTTTGTGGGTTCTGCTGCTCTAGAATTGGTTCAGAGCCATTTCTTAAAAGTATATGGAGGGGTTTGGGGGGGAGCTCAAGCAGGTCCCTGCTTTTACTCCGCCATCTTGGCTCCTCCCCATCTTCTATTCTTAAGCCATTAGTTTCATCCACTCTTCCTCTCTTCCGCCTCCTCTCATTTGACAAAAAAGATTAAAGCCATCCAACTTATGTGCCCTCAAATCATCTCCTCCACTACGTCCTATATATACTACATCCTCACCCAGGTTCTCTTTCTTCTCTCTGGTCTCGAGATGAAATGGTCCTTTTTCTTGCCAAAGGTAACCTTCACTGGTACCCTGGAGGCCATCCCTTGCCTTCTTATTGTTTGTCCTTCATTCTTGACATCGGGGAGATGCCATGACATGCAGGTGATTTGGACTTAAGTGAAATAAGGCTGTGCAAAGTCACCAGCCTCACTCTCTCCTCCACAGCCATCCAGGTCCAGAGGCAAGATATAAATCAGGATGACTGGAGATGGCCCTGGATGCAGTGGGAGACCTTGAACTTTCTGAACTCAGTCAAACTGAGACTTTACCCTCTACAACTCTGTTCAAATAAAGGTTCTCCTTCTCTTCCGCATCATCTTCAATATCTCCTTCTCAGCCAGTTCCTTCTTATAAATATCATCAGGTCTCTTTTATCCTAAAAACAAACAAAAAAGAACCTTCTGTTAATCTACTAAATCTACCAGTTAAATTCTAAGGAGAAATAAGCTAGAGATCTAAATTTGGGAGTTATATACAAAGGAAAAACTATACAAGAAAAAGAAATCAGTGCTCCCTTCTAAGGAAGGAAATGATAAATCAACTAATCAGCAAGCATATCCTACATGGGGTGACAAGATATCTAGAAAATAGGTTTGGGGCAGCTAGGTGGTGCAGTGGATATAGCACCAGCCCTGGATTCAGGAGGACCTGAGTTCAAATCCAGCTTCAGACACATAACACCCTGGGCAAGTCACTTATTAACCCCCATTGCCCAACCCCCCCCAAAAAAAGAAAATAGGTTTATATTTATACACTGTTTTAAAGTTTTCAAGTTACTTTCCTTATAACAACCTTGTGAGGTAGGCAGTACAAATATTCTCATTTTACATTTGACCATCTGGTGGTACTGTTAGCCACTAACTCAACCCTGTTTAGCAAAAATTGCTCTGGCTCAGGTGAATCCCAAACATATTCTAGCAACTATGGCTAGATATATGTACTATATGTGATACATGTCAAGTTTTGTTGAATGCACCCTGACCTTTCTTGCGCCTATCACCTTCTCTCTGCTCACAAAGCCATCACCCTTGTTCAAGCCCACATCTTTTCTCCCTTGGACTATTTGAATAGCATCCTAACTTCAGTCTATCCCCCTTTCCAATCTATCCACCACATATATGCCATATATATCCATCCTCTCTCCACCCTGGCCCAACCAAGAAGAATTTGTTATAGAATTGCTGACCGGCCTGGTTCTCTGTATGGACAACCATCTTTCCCTTAATTCTACCTCCATCTGGGAGGCTGTAACAGCTCATTAGCATAATGGAGTGTGGATTATTGTAAACTCAATCTGACTAGCTCTGAGCCCCCAATCTATCAGAAACTCACTGTGCCCTAGTCAAGTAACTCTGATATAATGGAGTTGCCTCACCACAAAAATAACCATACACAAATTGATACTGAATACAGCATTTTATTTGTGGCATGGGATTTTTAAAAGCAATAAACAATATATAACAAAACATTTACCAGTTAGTTTCATGTCCACAACCTCTCTTATACCCAATCAGTTTATAGGCAGCACACAAGCTACTTCAAACTTCAAACAAGTTCTAGGAAACTTGCATTCTTGTTTTCTTAGCCCCATCACACACTCCCTCTGTGAACAAGCAAAGTAGTGCAGGCAATACAACATAGTTCACTTGTGACATTCAATTCACTCATCTAGAAGTTTTTAGATGAAGATTCAAGAACTTTGAACCTGGCATTTTGGGTCCTCAGCAACATGGGATATCAGCTTAGGATCCAGTGAATTCAGAAGACATATCATGACACATGCTTTTCTCTGACTTGGATCCCCTTCTCTTCTCTGTCTACTACATTCTGCTTTGGTGATTTTATCCACCCTCATGGGCTCATCTCAAAAATCTATATATCTAGCCTAATCTCTTTCCTAAACAACAGTCACACGTCCCGACCTGCCTATTGGACAGCTCCACCTGTATATTTCACTAGCGCTTCAAATTCACTATGTCCAAAATGGAACTTACCATTTTCCCCTGTAAGCATTACCTACCTCTCTATCGACAACACTACCATCCTCTTAGTCACCCAGGGTCACAACTTCAGAATCAGCCTTGACTCTTCCTTTTCCTCTACCTTCCATCTCTAATCAGTTGTCAAGTTTTGTTAAATGTACCCTGACCTTGCTAGCACCTATGACCTTCTCTCTACTCACAAAGCCATCATCCTTGCTCAGGCCTACATCATTTCTCTCTTGGACCATTTGCATAGCATCCTAAGCTCAGTCTATCCTCCTTTCCAATCTATCCACCACATATATGCCAAAATAATCCTCCTAAGATATAATTCTGAACACATCACTCCTTTGCTTAAAAGTCTTAACATGTCTTTACACGCTTAACAAGTCTTAATACTATTACTCCCTTGCTTAAAAACTTTGAGGGGCTCCTATCACTTGAAAATAAAAAATAAATGCCTCAACCTGGCCTTCAAGGCCTTTCACATTCTGGCTCAAACCTTTCCTAGTCTTTGTTTACACTACTACATTACATGGAGTCTACGACTACATATTCTTAGAATTCAACATGCCCCTCTCTCTCCATGCATTCATACAAGCTATCTTTTATGCCTATAATGAACTCTTTCATGGGTGGTACAGTGGATAGCATACTGGGCCTGGAGTCAGGAAGATCTGAATTCAAGTCTTCAAATCTGTCCTCAGCCAAAACCTATAAAATACTGAGCAAGTCATTAACCTCTGCCTGCCTCGGTTTCCTTGACTGTAAAATGGGGATAATAACAGCACTTCTCTCCCAGTGTTGTTGTATCAAATGAGGTAATAATTATAAAATAAGCTTAGTACAGTGCCTGGCACATAGTAGGCACATGCTTGCTCTATCTTCTCTCAAGACTTAGCTCAGGTAACACTTTTTCCACGAAACATTCCCTGATCTTTTCAGCTTTGTTCTCAACTATTCCTCAAATATTCCTAAAGCTCTTTTATCTCTTTCATGCTCTGCCATTTCCACCCTACTCTGTATTGCACTTGTATGTGTTCATACAGTTGAATGTTAGCATTTGAAAGGCTTGCTATGCAAGTAGTGAAAAAAACCCTGGGCCTGAGATGAGACTTTGGTGTGAATTCTGCCTTTGATACTTAGGAGTTTTGTGAATATAAGTAAGCCACATAACCTTTATCAACTTCACTTTCCCCATTTGCAATGAACCTACCTCACAAATCAAATGTGATAATATCTTTGTGTTGTGTTTAATGTCAATAAATATCAGTTGTTCCAGAGAACTTTTCTGCTTTTGTCTTTTGTACTCCTAGTGTCTTGCACTTAAAAAATGTTTTTTGAATTTGCTATCAAACAAGCAAAAAGGGAGTTCTCGCTTTTCTCTGAGATAGTGGACATATACATATTTGTACCATAGTATTTTTCTTCATGTTTACATAGCTTATCTCCCCTTCTAGAGTGTAAAGTCTGTGAAGGGCAGTGGTCTTATTTCTTCTTTGTACCCTAGCACAGCACCTTCCCCCAAGGTATCCAATCAAGCATCTGTAAATATTTGTGGTTGACGACAAATTAGTACAGCTCTGCAATTGTAATGGTAAGCAACACGTGCTGACTTTTATCAGTGACTAATCATTCTATGTAACAATGACATTTGTGGTATCTTCTACTGTCTTCCGCTCTTGTCATCAACACGACAGAGTATATACTTACAAATGTATTCAACTTAATTGCCTTAGGGAACATTGTAATAGAGGCTTTGTCTAATTTGCAAAGCTATTCCTTGGACTGACATTTCCTGCGGGCCTGCTAGGTAGAAACTATACAAGGTATCGTTGCAGCCCGGGCAAAGTCTGAAAATTGTGACTCTTTTTACTGTCAACTGCTGCACACTTGACTTGATGAAACTAAATACGAGGTGCCTGGAAGGCACTCCCTCTATACCTCCACCTGAGTCCTCTTTCTTTAAGATGCAGCTCAAGCATCACCTGCATATAGCCTTTCCTAATCCCGAACTCAAAGTGCCCTCCCTTCCAAACTACCTTACTTATATTTGAGCACCTTTTACCTATTTATACTGATTCACTCCATATTTACATGTACCTGTCTTCCCTATTAGGATGTAAGCGCCTTGTGTTTGGGAGTATTTCTTTCTGTTTTCGTCTTCCCCACACTTTTGAAAATGCTTGGAGTCACTTATAAAAGTCTATTTGCCCTAGATTAGAACCTATTTCCACCTTAACTTCGGTCACACTACATGTGGGCTCTGCCGGGAGGCCTGGACGAAGGAGTCCGTGAACAAGGCACGGGCCCGGCGCACCAGTAAGAGCGGGACGAGCTCAGCTGATTGCACAGACCCTGTTTGTTTCTAGAACCTCCATGAGCCCCTCGGGCTTATTTTTGCTCCGCCTCCCGAAGCGGGAGGATCCCCTAGGGAGGCGGGGCGAGGGTAGCCCGGGAGGAAGGGCGCATCCCTCTGGGTAAGCCCCGGGACCACGGCCCCGGCCGCCGAGGCTGAGCGCGGCAGCGCAGGGCTCCGGACGCGCTCTCCCGGCCAGGCGTGGACTCCCCGAGTCTCCGCCCCCGCGTGGCGCGTCAAACGCGCGCCGAGGCTCGGAGTCTGCGGGCCGGGGAGACGTTCCCGGGAATGCTCGGGCGCCTGGCTCCGCGCAGCCTCTAGGCGTGTGCTGCTGCGGCTTGGCTGGCCATGGCGCCCTGGGTGGGCGCAGGGCTCCTGCAGCTCACCCCCGTCGGCGCCCTGTGGCTGATCCTGGCCTGCGCCTTCCTCCTGGCCCTGCTGCTGCAGACCGTGCCGCCCAGCGCCTTTCCCCAAGGGCCCCTACCCCTGTCCACCTTTTTCCACGACCTGATTCGCTATGGAAAAACCAAGAGTGTGGGGCAGCAGCGCCCTGCCTCCTGTGAGGTCTTCGATGTCCCCAAGAGGTAACCAACCGTGGTTTCGGCTTCCTAGCTGGCTCTTGGGGGAGCCTGGGCCAGACGCGAGAAGGCTGCGAGGCGGCGCGGCGCCCGTCAGTGTGGCCTGCAGGGGGCAGCAGAGGGCAGCATGTTGTAAATGGGCGGAGCCGTGCCCTGGCTGTGGGCTCCGCCACGTTGGGATGGGGCGAATGCTTCCCGGCACAGACTCCCTGCCGTACTAGGCGCCGAAGGTGCGGAACGCGCTGTCCTAGCCTAAACATAAGCCATTGCTTTGGGTAGGGAAAGGCCTTTCTTAACAGACTCCGCTACCCAACTCTTCACCCCCCTTAGCATCATCTTCCAGCTTTGAGTTGACGTACTAAAGGTCAAAGCCTTTAAAGAAAAAAATCTCAAAAAGCCCTTCCTCATTCATACCTCTCCTGTGTGTGTTCTGAGGAGTGAATGAAAAGCGTTTATTGTCAGGCAGACACTGTGTTTTGGGCATGCAAAAACAAAAGAGAAACCGTACTGGCCTTCCAGGAACTTACTTTTAAATTTGATATTTTCAATTCATTACCCTTCCAGCTGAGAAAAGGAAAACCCTCATAACAAATATACCTAGTCAAAAAGAGCAAATTTTCCCACGTAAGCCGCGTCCAAAAATGTGCATGTCACGCCTATCCTTGAGTCCGTCATCTGTCTCAGGAGGTGGGTATGGGGCTTCCTTATTGGTTCCCTGGAGTTGTGACTTTCATTGAATTGATTAGGTTCTTAAGTCTTTCAAGTTTTCTTTATAAGGTTGTTACTGCATAAATTGTTCTCTTAAGACATTTTGTGGGAGAGACCATCCAAATAGAGGAGGAAAGGAGGCCAGGGGAAAAAAAACGTTTTAGTGGAAAGTAACAGCAGTTGGTAGACCCAGTATCAGTCAGCTGCCGCATCCACACCCTTTGCAGAAGCTGTGGCAATGTTGATCTGATAACTGTTTTGGAGCAGGGTATGGTACTATATTAGCAGGGCAAATGGTAAGACTTGGAGGCAGGGAGTATCTGAGGCTAGCTAGAAGTAGGGAAGAGGAGAGACAACAAGCATTTATTAAGTACCTACTGTATGCCAAACCACTGTGCTGGGATTTACAAATATCTCATTTGAGACTCATAAGAGCCATGGGAGGCAGGTGCTGTTATCCTCATTTTATAGTTTAGGAAACTGAGACAGAGAGATTGTGACTTACCCAAGGTCACACCGATTTGAACTTCGGTCTTCCAGACTCCAGTCAGAGCTCTCTATCCACTTTGACTAAGCAGGACAGCGGGGCCCTTGAGTGGTGAGTTACAAAGTTGAGTAACCTAAAGTTTAGATAGGGAGAGCCCACATAAAAGGAAAATCAGCCCTATCAGCATTCAACATTATATTGAATGAGATATACCTCCTTTTTTTCTCTAGCATTTGGACCCTGGTCACCACTACCATCTTAGTCATGGGCCTTTGTTTCGGTGTAACAGGCAAGTTTTCCATATTAAACAATGCTCCCTCTCATATCTGGAATGAATCTCCTAAATGAACCCATATCAGGTAGAATTGACTTCTGGTGATTATCAGAGTTGACTGGTTAAGTGACAACACATTTGTGTAGTTTTTCTGAAGGTACAGGGACCTAATCTCTTCCATCTCTAAAATGCCTCTGTATTTGGAATATCAGGTTTTCAGCATATCCCATGTCGAGAAGATGTATAGGGCTTGTTGTTTTCTTGAGGGATAAATTGCTAAATTGCTAAAAATTAAATTGGGGCTAAGGAGCAATTCTGTGAATCAGAGATTTGAAAGGGGATGGTTTTAGTTATGTCTTCACTTTTTTTAAAAAATTGAGTGCCAAGGTACGGCTGAGAATGTGTTTATATTTGGCATTTAGGAGAGAAGAATGTGGAATCTTTTTGATGCCAACAAAGCATAATCCCAAAGCAATCTAATCTATATTCCATGACTGAAAAGCTAAATACAGCCTGACATTTGAGATGTAAATAATCACTATGTTCTGACTGGTGGAGGAGCAGCATGGGATAGTATGGAAAGAGCCGAGAACTTTGTCACAGGCCCTGAGATTGTATCTAGTTCTGCCATTTACAAAACCAACCACATGACTTTAGGCAAGTTACCTGCCCTCTCACAGCCTCTGTTTTCTCATCTGCAAAATGAGGTTAGACCAGTGGCTCCAAAGGTCTCTTGCATCTCTACATCAGTGATCATATGCGTTGGCATGACTTGATGGCAGCAGTTTTTCTGACAAGAGAAAAAGAGAGTGAAGAATGCAGACATAATAAGTGTAGGCCTTAACTAAATCTTAACTTTCTGAGATTATCCCCATCATTAAGCCAAAGGGGTTATAATTTATGTTTGCCAACTGGAAATTCTGTCATTCTGGTTTTAATCAGAATTAATCTTTTCTCTCCCTTCCAATTTTTTTTTATTCACATCACCTTTTCTATTATTAACACACTACCATAAAATGGAGGAGAAATTGCTCCTTGCAGAATGCTGAATCTCCCATTTAATTTAATTATCTTTTTTTTTTAAGTGTTTGATATCCCTGCACAGTAGTTGACAAGGGGCAGTAGATAAAGTGGGCTAGAAACTGAGAAGACTTGGCTTCACATCCATCTCTGATGCTTACTAATGCTATAACCCTGGGCATGTCACTAAATCATAGGCTATCTTTAGATGGAGGGAGTGCTTTGTGCTGATGAAATTCCAAGCTTTTCCTTCATTGATGTACCATGTTTATCACAGATTTCTCTGAATCCTACCCTGACACAGGAAAACAGCTATCACTGTCATATGGTGAGCAAAAGCTTGAGACATCCTAGGGTTTAGAGCTGAACAGACCTTTAGAGATCATCCCATATAACTCAGAGACCCAGAGGTTAAATGATTTATGTGCCCAAGGACTTAGTGACTTTCCTTTATTCCTTTAATTATTATTAACAGTTAGTTCTATTTGGGCTTCTAGTAACTTCCTGTCTTTCCACTAAATTATGAAATAATACTAGAGGACTTCCTTCAGAGTTTTGGGGCGGAACCTCCCATGAGATGTCTCAGCTATTGTTTTTCTCTAAGTCTAAACAATACATTTCTTTTTGTATTGTCAGTGAAGATAATGGTACAGATCCAGTTAAACAATGACAGGTGTGTTAACCATAGTTCTTACTGAGAAGGACGTCTGAATGTATTGAAAACACATATTTGATTATGTTGCATTCCATCCGAATTATTTTTTTGTTTCATACAAGGATTCTTTTTTTTCTCTTTTCCTTCCTTTTTAAAATTTATTTTTAGTTTTCAACATTCACTTTTATAAGATTTTGAGTTCCAGATTTTTCCCCCTCCCTCCCCTGGGTCTTCCCCAAGCAATCTGATCTAGGCTATACATGTACAATCAATCAGACATATTTCCACATTAGCCATGTTGTAAAAGAAGAATCAGAACCAAAGGGAAAAGCTCTGAGAAAGAAAAAAACATAAAGAGAGAAAATAGTATGCTTCAATCTGTGTTCAGATTCCACAGTTCTTCCTCTGGATGTGGATAGCATTTTTCATCATGAGTCTTTTGGAATTGTCTTAGATCATTGCATTCCTGAGAAGAGCTAAGTCTATCAAAGTTGGTCACATCTGAATTATTTTTAAAAATTAAAAACAAAAGGGTAAGGTAGGCGCTTTGTTCATTGAAAAGAGAAGGATTTGGAGTCAAAGGACCAGGGTTTCATGCCTGGGCTACCACTTGGGCAAGTCAGTTCAGCTTTCTGGGGCTCAGTTTCCTCATCTGTAAGGTAGGGGGCTGGACTGGATGGCTCTCCCATGATCCCATCGTACAAATGAAGAAATTTAATTCTTTATGCCAGGAATGAGAACTCCTTGAAGGGGAAAGGAACAAGCATGTATTAAGAACCTACCGTGTACCACGCACCTTATGAATCAATCAATAAACATTTATTAAGCACCTGCTATGTGCCAGCACTGTGCCAAACACTGGAGATACAAAAAGAGGCAAAAGAGAGTCCCTGCTCAAGGAGCTCACAATCTAACGAAGGAAACAACATGATGAAATGTCATTTGATTCTCATGATAACCCTGGGAGGTAGGCACTTATTCCCCATTTTACATTTGGGGAAACTGAGGCAGACAGGGTAGGTGATTTGCCCAGGGTCACACAGCTAGTGAGTGTCTGAGGCTACATTTGAACTCGGGTCTTCCCGACTCCAGGACAATCTCTAACCATTGAGCCACCAACCGGCCCTCATTACCGGGGCCAGCCTATCTTGTAGTAAGGCTGCTAGGTGTCTCAGTGGATAGAGCACCAGGCCTAGAATCAGGAAGACCTGAGTTCAAATCCAGTTTTAGACACTTTCTGTGTGATCCTGGGCAAGTGACTTAAACTTAACCCTGTTTGCCTATTTCCTCATCTATGAGCTAGAGAAGGGAATGGCAAGCCTCTCCAGTGTCTTTGCCTAGAAAATCCCAAATGGGGTCACAAGAGTCAGACATGACTGAAAAAATGACTGAACAACTAATGCTGTAGTGGAAAAAACACTGCCTACCGCCTTCTGGGCAAGTTACTTAATTTCTCTTTGCCTCCATTTTCCCATCTGTGAAATGAGGGAGTATGAATTAAATGACTTTGAGGTCTCTTTCAGCTCGAATATCTATTCCTATAATACTATGAGTTGGTCCTTGCACCACTGCATTGCCCCACGGTTGATATTTCTTCATTCCCTCTTGCAAGATCCCATCAACTCTGAAACTCATACCTGCTTGGTCCCCCCTGGCCCTGGGGCTCCTCCCTTCCTCTGGTTGGAGAGGGTGACTGTGGAATAGCTTCTCCCAGCTGCTCCATTTAGGAGAGCCCCAGGGCAGCCATCGAATCATTTTAAACCTGGTGTACTTACTCTTCTGGATTTCATCATTCCCCGAAGCCATTACCACCCTCTCTCTCCTCCCCTCCAACCTCCTCCCTCCGCAGTTTTCCCACTCACCCGCTTTTTATGTGTTGTCTTTTCCCAACTGGAGGCAGCTAAGTGTCTCAGTGGATAGAGTCCTGGGATGGGAATCAGGAAGACCTGAATTCAAATCCAGCCTCAGACACATAATAGTTGTGTGACCTTGGACAAGTCACTTAACCTCTGTTTGCCTTAATCCACAAGAGGAGGAAATGGCAAACCACTCTAGTATCTTCACCAAGAAAACCCCTTAGACAGCATGGGGTCACGGAGAGTCGGACACGACTGAACAACTTCCCCCATTGGATTGTAAGCTTCTAGAACCCAGGGACTGTCTTTTGCCTTTATCTGTATCCCTGGCACTTGGCACAGTGCTTGGCACATGGTAGGCAATTAATAACCGTTTACTGACTGGTTGTATATGAGGCCAAATGATGTCAAGTTTCAGTGTAGCAGCTTTTGGATAGAGAGGTAATAGCCTGAGCGTTCTCCAGGGTGTATGTGACATTAAATAATCACAGTTGCCTGAATTAGAGTACTATCATTGTTTAATTCAAGGGACGAGATTTGGATCTGGAAGGGCCCAGTCCATCCCTATGGTTTTATAGAGAAGTGAAAACAGATGCCCGCAGTGCTCTTGGCAGTTTGTCTGTTTACAGATCCAGTGGTCTTTCTGCTGTCACCTTTCCCCCTCCTGCCTCTGTTCATTTCCACTAGCCCTGTTGTGCCTGAAGGTGGCCAGGGTCATATGGAAGGGTCTGCCATGCCTGTAGAAACTGCCAGAAAAGCTGCTTGTATCTTAGGCTACTTGAAGAGGCCCAGTGTTCAAAACTAGTCCCTGGTCAGACCCCCTGTCCTGGATTGTGTTTAGTTTAGAAGAAGCTATTTGAAGAGGATGTGGGTGGTAGAGGGCCTTGAGATCAAATCATATGAAGATCAGTCAGAAGAATTAAGATTCTTTAGCCTGGAGAAGACAAGGATTGAGATAGAGGGTGAGACTTGACAGATATCTTTAAATATTTTAGAAAGTTTCCTTGAGGCAGAAGGGATGGACACCCTAAATGGAAGGTGCAGACAAACTGATCTAGGTATGAATTAAGGGGAAACTTCCAAACTGGTAAAGCTTGCCAAAAGTTGAAACAGCTGACTTGGGAGGTAGTGAGTTCCCTGTCATGAGAGGTCTTCAAAGAAAGTTTGGATCATATTTCATTCCCAGGCATGCTAGAAAGGGAGTTCTCATTCAGATCTATGTGGCATGCACAGGTTCCCCACCCCTGGACTAGATAATCTCCGAGTTCTGTGTCAACTTGGATTCTGTGAAGGTGGAAAAGGTTTTTAGTGCAGATCCAGGAAACACTGTGTCTGTTTGAAGGACCAGCTTGGCTAAGCCTGAGGAAGCCCAGAAGATGAGCCAGCAAATGGTGACTCCATTGTTTGTTCATTTATTCATTTTTGGCCATCAGCAACTTAGGAACTCTACTCCAGTTGGGAATGTATTGGCAGAGCACCTGCACCAGTGAAATCACAGGCTTTTTGAACTACTTGAAGTCAGAACAAATTAGGCAGGTCTGATAGGATCTGGTAGATTTCATCCTTTTCCCAGATAGTATCTGGGAGACTTTGTCATAGTTTTCTTTTTTCAGAAAATTTACTGTTAATACTTAAATTGAGTCAGTGATTGGTACTGGCAGGCTCAAAGTCACCTTCCCTGCCCCTCCCTCCACTTCATGCTGCGCATTGACTGCTTAAATATTATTAAACCTTGAATGTTTGTTTTTCTATGTAGCAGACCAGTCTGAGAATTAAAGCTCAAATAAATTAAACATCTTCGTTGCATTTGCACAAGAGATGTTGTGGGTTCTTTGTTGTTTTCAGATTTCCTTTTTAGCTGCCAGAGATTTGACTTCCTAAAATGCTGTTGCCTTAGAGTCATTTTCTGAGAAGTCAGCTACGTGTGGAGCAATTTGGTTGCACGGCTTTGAAACTTCCAGATTTGTGCTGAAGACCTCAAAAGCTCATTCTGCCATGATTTTCTTGGGTGTGGTGTTTTGTTATTTTTTTTTTAAACTTTGAACTCGGATAACTGCTCAGTAGCTAGGAGGGGGCCTCAGAGATCATCCAGGTCAACTCCCCTCATTTTACACGTAAGGAAATTGAAAGCTTCTCTAGGCAAAGCAACTTGTCATGAAAGCAGGAAACATCAGAAGAGGGATGTGAACACAATTCTATTAACTGGAGTCAGTGCCCTTTATTTCAGGTGTTTTAAAAATCTACAAATAAAGGTAGAGCTTGTAATTTCAAATTCTTCATGCAGTGTGTTCCAGAGATCTGTAAGCCAGCCTTCCCCTCCACTCCTATTTTGTACATACTCTTTTTTTTTTTTTTTTCCAAAGCTTTAACCCCAGAACTCCACAGACTGGGACATACTACTAATTCAGGCATTTTTAGCAACATTCATGAAGCTTGCACTGTGTGCATGACATTTCTGAAGTGAGGTCTGAAGTGTCCTATGGGAATGTGAAAGAAGAGAGGGCATAGTAGAAGGTGATGGCAGGACCAGGATTGCTCCTACAGACATTTGATAGTGCACAGGGAGGAAGCCAGGGTGAATTTTAAGGAGGCAGCATGTGGCTCCACCCCCATGTTTGTGTTTATTAAAAAGTATTTGGGAGGGGCAGTGGGTAGGGCACTGGCCCTGAAGTCAGGAGGACCTGAGTTCAAATGTGACCTCAGATACTTATTTGCTGTGGGACCCCCGGGCAAGTCACTTAACCCTGATTGCTGCAAAAAAAATATATGTATATATATGTATACACATATATAGTGTATGTATCTATACTTATGTGTGTGTGTGTGTATATATATGAAGAAAACCAATCCTTTTCTGTTGGTATGGCTAGCCAGCAGTAGAGATTAGGAACAACTGCAGTATGTTGATGTTAAGGCTGCTTTAATCCATAAATGACTGTTTGACGTTTGAGAGTCTTGTTCCAGACTACAAATGGAGCAAATTGAAAGAATTGGCTTCTTGGGAAAGGTTTTTTTTTTTCTTTTTAGTTTTATGTTTTTTGCTTTGCTTTATATATGTAAGGCTTAGCACACTCCTGGTACATGCACTTAATAAATGCTTGTTGATTGATTCTTATTTGTGGGTGTGGGTGTGCTTTTTTTTTTTTTTTTTAAGAGGGAGTGTGAGAGGGGACTGGAATTTGAATTTCATCCATGTGGGGAATTCCCACTTATGAAACTCCCTCTGTTAATGCAGATCCACAACTGAGTGTTAGAGTGCTTGATTTGGTGTCAGGAGCACCCAATGCTGACTCAGATACGTATGACTTTGAGTAAGTCACAGAACCCCTCTGGACCTCAGTTTCCTTGTCTGTAAAATGAAAAGATTGGGCTAGATGGCCTCGAAGGCCCTTTTTGGAGCACATCATAGAGACTTGCCTGGGGCACCTAGAAGTTAAGTGACTTGCCCAGGATTTCATAGCAGGTAAGTATCAGACAGGGCAGCTAAGTGGCTCAGTGGTTAGAATTCAGGGCTTAGATTCGGGAAGACCTGAGTTCGAATCCGGCCTCAGACATTTACTAGGTGTATGACCTTGGGCAAGTCACTTAACTTTTGTTTCCCTTGATCCACTGGAGAAAGAAATGGCAAACCACTCCAGTATCCTTGCCAAGAAAACCCCATGGACAATGTTAGTGCATTGTGTTCCCCATAGCCATATGATATGACGTATCAGAGGTCGAATTTGAACCCAGGTCTTTGTGACTCCAAGGCTAGCTTTCTGATACATTATACCATGCTCGCTGTATCTTAGTTAAATCTGAGAGTGTCTTGGAAATGGGGCAAGATGTATATTTCTTGGTAATTTCATCATTTCTATTCAGTTGTTTTTAGTAGTGTCCGACCCTTTGTGACCCGTTCAGGGTTTTCTTGGCAAAAATACTAGAGTGGTTTGCCATTTCCTTCTCCGGCTCATTTTACAAATGAGGAAACTGAGGCAAACAGGATTAAGTGACTTACCCAGAGTCACACAGCTAGTAAGTGTCTGAGTCCAGATCTGAACTCGGGAAGATGAGTCTTCCTGACTCCAGCCCTTGCACTATTTCCACTGCACCACTTAGCTACTTTCAAATAAAGCTCCTAAAATCTAATGCTGACTAATTATTCAAGCAGAATAATTTAATCTCTTTAGACAAATAATGTTAACCTGCCCTCCAGGGTGTGGTGCATGAGGGTTTATATGGCTCTTACTCCTGTCGTCAGAACTTGCTTTCCTGACTGAGGCAAAGGCTGTGCCCTGGCCTCTCTGTATGTCGCTTGGAAGGCAGCAAAGGGATGCAGTCTGTCCCATCAGATACAATCCTGCAAAATCTTTGGAAACCATCATGTACCTATTGTTGAAGTATGTAGAAATCCTGCCTTCATTTGGCTATGGAAGGCATAACATTGTTTTTCCTGGACGCAGTTATGGCCCTGGCTCTGGAACTTGAATCCAGATTAGGGAGTCATTGAGAGATAAGAAATGGTTCTAGCTGAACCTCTATCTAAATATTGTAAGATTTGTAGTGTTCTTATTAAACTTTACAAGTCAGTCCCATGGAGGCCTCCTGCCAGGGAGCCTCGTTCCAAAAGTAAATTTGCAATAGCTTTCTGATAGAATGCAAGTCATAAGAAACATTAGACTTTGTCCAGGCTGATTTAGCCCAAACCCCCTTGACTTAAACCAAGTTTCTGTTGTTTTCTACAGGTGGTTTTGCCATTTCTATATCATCTCAGTGGTGTGGAATGGCTTCTTGCTTCTGTGTCTTATCCAAGCCCTGTTCCTAGGAACACCCTTTCCAGTGTGGCTTCAGGATTTGCTCAGAAAACTCGGGGCTTCACAAATGCAAGGTAAACTCCCCCCGCACACACATACAAGCCTCAGTTCCAAACATTCACCCTGTTTTGATAATGGCAAGTTAGCAAGAATTGCTCTTGACATTTTATAGATAGAGTAAAAATCAATCCTTACCCCGAGCCTGGTGAATTAGGAAGTATTTTATAGAGTTTGCTGTAGGTGGCATAGTGAATACTCACTGGATCTGGAGACAGGAAGATGTAAGATTGAATCCTGCCTCAGATACCTACTGGCTATGAGACCCTGGGCAAATCAGTTAACCTCTCAGCCTCCGTTTCATCATCTGTAAGATGGGGTAGCACCTATCTCACAGAGTTGTAAGAGAATAGGATCATGTGAAAAGTGCTTTGCAAACATTTAAGTACTATATATAAATGTTAACTGTTATTATCATTGTTATTATTATTATTATTATTATTAGGGCAGCTGGGAGACACAGTGAATTAATCACTAGGCCTGGAGTTGGGAAGACCTGAGTTCAAATTTGGCCTCAGACACTAGCTGTATGACCCAGGGCAAGTCACTTAACCCTGTTTGCCTCAGTTTCCTCATCTGTAAAATGAGCTGGAGAAGGAAATGGCAAATCACTCCAGTATGTTTGCCAAGAAAACTTCAGAAGGGGTCACAGAGAGTCAAACACAACTGAAAATGACTAACAACAAAATAATTTTTATTATTACAAGTCTTGCTTAGGGTGAAAGAAGAAAAAAAGACAAGGACAATTATAGAGAGGAGCGAATGGCTCTTCTGTCATCAGAACCAAGATTTTGAACTTGCTTTCCTGACAGCCCTGGCCTCTCTATATGTAGCTCAGAAGGCAGCGAAGGGATGCAGTCTATCCCATCAGATGGTGTCCACACATCAGTGAGGGCAAGGAGGGAAACATCCCTTTCATTTCTGAAAAGAAGAAAAAAGTTTGCCCTGTCCTTTAATGTTCCTTTGAAACATCAGTTTCTAGGAAACATACTGACACAAAATAATCAGCATAAAGCCTCAGGACTTTGACTGGAAAACTTGATACAAAACTTTGGGAAGAAAAGAATAAAAATATGTTATTCAGTGAGTTTGTGGTAAAATAGTAATCCTACTTTTGCCAGTTATTTTTTAGGCAATTACACAATACCCTCTTCACATTAGCTACACTTTTACAAATGGAGAAGCAACTGACCTAAACCAAAATTAACCCCAGTGAGGAGCAAGATGAAAATCTAAAATCTCTTCTGTCCCCCGGCTATTCAACCCTGTCACACTTTCCCTAGGAACTAGAATTTGGGGCTGTCAGACCAGGAGAACTTGTTATCTAGGAGGGGAAGACTAAACTCAATCCCTTTTTGAAAGGAGAGAAGATTCCACCACATCTCCTGCTCATTTAAACAAGCATTTTTCAGGACTTGGTTGAATTATCCTGGAGCTTAGTTTTAAGACGGAGGAGTGTGGATTTTTCACTTTTGGCTGATTACAGCTTGGGGGGTGTGTGTGTGTGTGTGTGTGTGTGTGTGTGTGTGTGTGTGTGTGTG